CTATCCAACCATCTCGTCCTCTGTCGCCCCCTTCTCCTTGTGCCCTCCATCTTTCCCAACATCAGTGTCTTCTCCAGGGAGTCTTCTCTTCTCATGAGGTGGCCAAAGTACTGGAGCCTCAGCTTCAGGATCTGTCCTTCCAGTGAGCACTCAGGGCTGATTTCCTTCAGAATGGATGCGTTTGATCTTCTTGCAGTCCATGGGACTCTCAAGAGTCTCCTCCAGCACCAGAATTCAAAAGCATCCATTCTTTGGCGATCAGCCTTCTTTATGGTCCAGCTCTCACTTCCATACATCACTACTGGGAAAACCATGGCTTTAACTATACGGACCTTTGTTGGCAAGGTGATGTCTCTACTTCTCAAGATGCTGCCCTCTGTTCTAGGAGCATCTGAATAAATAAATAAATAAATAAATTTTTATCTGTACTCTGCCCTTCCCGGTTTAAAAACCGGGCTCAGGGCAGCTAATTGCAAATATAAAACATTGATTAAAATGCAACATAAAAAGAGCATAAAATACAACATAAATGCAGTATCAATGTCAATAAAATTCAAAAAAGTCATTTTTGGGGGGGGGAACCCCAGTCAGTAAACATCAAATGATCACCAGGGCTAACTGGCCAAGTTGGTCCTACTAGGGCCAGCAAGGAGACCAGGGAAGAGTTTAAATGTGGGGTCCCAGAAAGGGTTTCTTCATAAAAAAGGGAAGGGAAAAGGGAATAGAGGATCAGGCTAATTCAAATTGAAGGCCAGGCAGGATAGCTCTGTCTTACAGACCCTGCGGAAGGAGATCAAGTCCTGCAGGGCCCTGGTCTTGTGGGACAGAGCATCCTACCAGGTCGGAGCCATCACTGAGAAGGCCCTGGCCCTGGTGGAGGATAGTCTGGCTTCTTTAGGGCCTGGGACCTTTAAGCTATTATTATTCATGGACCTTAGGGTCCTTTGTGGGACATACCAGGAGAGGCGGTCTGTTGCCAATGCCCATTTTCCATTTGTGTTCCTAGCCTGATGTGGCATAGGTGGCAATTAGGAAGAGGCACTTGATCAGTTTTGGCCTCCTGGCATTTGAGATGGCAAGAAGGGCAGAAACTGGGCCTCACATTTGTTCACAGAACTGATGAATGGAAACCAAACCTTATCAGACAAATCCTATTTAGGTACCAGGCAAATAGCTTCTTACTTGTTCAGGCTGCAGCTCTTTTAGATCTGCTGGCTTATCTTTTCACAGTAGTTCTGCATATTTGCATTTTTGTTCATCTGACCTGGGAAGCTGGAATCAATTCTGGACAAGAGCAGTATCAAAAGAAGAGTTGAAAAATTGCTGCTGGGCCAAGTTCAAGGTGTTACTATTAGTCTATAAAGCCCTTAACAACTTGGATTACCTATGAGATCCCCCACATGCATCCATGAGACCACTTCAGTTGGTGGTTCCACATTTATAAGAATTTGATCTTTCAGTGCAGCAGCACCAAGACTTTGGAACTCCTTGCCTCTTGATATCAAGCAGGCGCCTTCAGTGTATTCCTTTTGGTGCTTGCTAAGAACATTCTTAGGGACGCGGGTGGCGCTGTGGGTTAAACCACAGAGCCTAGGACCTGCCGATCAGAAGGTTGGCAGTTCGAATCCCCGTGACAGGGTGAGCTCCCGTTGCTCGGTCCCTGCTCCTGCCAACCTAGCAGTTCGAAAGCACGTCAAAGTGCAAGTAGATAAATAGGTACCACTCCAGCGGGAAGAGAAACGGCGTTTCCATGCGCTGCTCTAGTTTGCCAGAAGCGGCTTAGTCATGCTGGCCACATGACCCGGAAGCTGTACGCCGGCTCCCTCGGCCAGTAAAGCGAGATGAGCGCCGCAACCCCAGAGTCGGCCATGACTGGACCTAATGGTCAGGGGTCCCTTTACCTTCACCTTTAAGAACATTCTTGTTTAGACAAGCCTGCTTAGAAAGTTGATGTGAATTTTGACCTCTTTTAGTATTTTAGCTTTTTATGTTTTAAACTATGGTTACATTTATTTTATTTTATTGTTTTACCTTTTCGTAAAGCACTTTGATGGCTTTTTAAAAATACAGTCAAGCAGTGTATAATTTTTATGAAATAACTAAGTAAATAATAACATTCACTGCCCCAAGGTTTGGTGAAAGCTTCTGGCTTGAAATGAAGTTGTGGCCAATTCATGGAGGAGGGTGGGCGCGAGGGAAGGATCTGTCAAGAGCTGTCAGTCAAGGTGGCTTTCTGGGCAGACTAAGGGCTCATCCAGACTCACTTTTGCAACCTGCTTTCCAAACACAGGCCAGTGCTTTAAAGCTCCATGTCCAAACAGGGGGATTGTTTTGGTTGCGATTTACCACTGAATTGGAGCAAACAGCAATCTGCAGGAAACTCGATTGCAGTTTGCTCCAGTTCAGCAGTAAAATGTGGGTTTTCCCCAGGGAAACTGCTGGGACCTAAAAAAATCCACTCAGAAACAAAGCTTTAAACCCCCAGACCTGTACCTAGAAACAGGGCACACAAGGAGGTCTGGATGAGGCCAAAGTTGGAAGCCACATCCTGGGGAACAAGGGCAAGAATGGCTATTTCCTATTATTATTATTAAATTTTATTTATACCCCACCCTCCCCAGCGAAGACCGGGCTCAGGGCGGCTAACACCGGTATAAAAACAATTGATTGAAATACAACTTAAAAACAAGATTAAAACACAACATTAAAATGCAGCCTCATTTCAGTAGGAACTCAAATCAAAAACTTTTGGGGGGATGAAAACGTCAAGTCTTCACCAAGGACAGACTGTGCTCAGGGACATCTGACTGGCCAGTGTGTGAAACAACACATTAGTCTATGTGGACCTTTGGTCTCATCTAAAGATGCTCTTTTTAATTTTTTACTTCAGCTCTTATTATTTTAATACTAATGATGATGATGATGATGCAGAATTGGGAATACAACATTGCAAAACACCCCAGCTGCCAGACAACTGTGCGTCTAGGAGGTTGAAACTCCTGGAAAAATACGATCCAGCAAGCGAGAGCTGTTAAACTTCGCTTTGTTCATTTCCCCGAAGGAAGGTGAAGAGGGGATGGAGGTCTGTTTCATGTTGGAAAGGAAGCAACAATAGCAAGGGGGTGATTAACACTCGGAACCAGCTGCCAGCAAGAGGGGGGAGGGCTCTTTCCAAAGAGGCCCCCATCCTCCCACTGTTGCTGCTCACAGGCTTGAACATCAGAGGAACATCCCTGGCCAGAAATATAAGTTATTTCCACCGCTGCGTGGAAAGTACCTAAGGATTAGGCCACACAAACACATGCACCCCTCCCTGCAGTTTCTCCACTGAAAGTTCCTCCAAAGGCTGCTTTTGGTTTTTTTTTTTAAAAAGGAAAGGTGGGAGAGATACAGACATGGTCAAGTGGTTTGGTTGAAACCTCAACCACACCTCTACCTGACCTGTATTTTGATAACAACATGGGAAGAGCCTGTTGGATCAGCTTCCTGCATTTCAGGGGGTGGGCTGGATGACCCTCAGGGTCCCTTCCAACTCTACAATTCTGTGATTCTATGATAGTTCAATCTTGCCTCGAGGAGTTCGCCTCGAGGATGCTGATTCCACCACCTACCTCAGCAGCCCAGCCCTATTCCCTAAGCTGGTTTGATTCTAATGTGTTGTTGTTTAGTCGTGTCCGACTCTTCGTGACCCCCTGGACCAGAGCACGCCAGGCACTTCTGTCTTCCACTGCCTCCCGCAGTTTGGTCAAACTCATGCTGGTAGCTTCGAGAACACTGTCCCACCATCTCGTCCTCTGTCGTCCCCTTCTCCTTGTGCCCTCCATCTTTCCCAGCATCAGGGTCTTTTCCAGGGAGTCTTCTCTTCTCATGAGGTGGCCAAAGTCTTGGAGCCTCCGCTTCAGGATCTGTCCTTCAGGGCTGATTTCCTTCCGAATGGAGAGGTTTGATCTTCTTGCAGTCCATGGGACTCTCCAGAGTCTCCTCCAGCACCAGAATTCAAAAGCATCCATTCTTCGGCGATCAGCCTTCTTTATGGTCCAGCTCTCACTTCCATACATCACTACTGGGAAAACCATGGCTTTAACTATATGGATCTTTGTTGGCAAGGTGATGTCTCTGCTTTTTAAGATGCTGTCTAGGCCTGTCATTGCTTTTCTCCCAAAAAGATTCTAATGTACATCCCTATAATTTAGAGCCTACTTTTGTATTCACCGGAACTGTTAAGAAGAGGCTGCTGGATGAGGCCAATGGCCCATCTCATCCAGCCTCCTTTTCTCACAGTGACCAACCAGATGCGTCTTCTGGGAAACCTGGAAGCAGGATCCGAGCACCAGAGCAACTCTCCCCTCCTGAGATTCAGAAGCCTCTGACTGTGGAGACTGGGCAGAGTCATCAATTATTATTATTATTATTATTATTATTATTATTATTATTACCCCACCATCCCTGGCCAGAGCCGGGCTCAGGGCGGCTAACACCAATAAAATCACAGTAAAAACACAATGGGGGGGGGGGAACCAATTTAAAATACAGGTTAAAATGCAATTTAAAATGCAGCCTCATTTTAAAAGTAGCCCATAGATCAAGACCATAAGGGGAGGGAAGCATAAGGGTCAGACTGAGTCCAGACCAAAGGCCAGGGGGAACAGCTCTGTCTTGCAGGCCCTGCGGAAAGATGTCAAGTCCCACAGGGCCCTAGACTCTTGTGACAAGAGCGTTCCACCAAGTCGGGGCCAGTGCTGAAAAGGCCCTGGCCCTAGTTGAGACCAATCTAACCACCTTGCGACCTGGGACCTCCAAAATGTTGTGGGTCCTAGACTGCGTAGGCTTTAAAGGTCAAAACCAGCACCATTGTGGCTTATAGCCCTCTCCTCTTCCCTGAATTTGTCCGATCCTCTTCCAAAGCCATCAAAGTTGGCGGCCACCCCTGTGGCAATGAGTTCCACAGCTTCACTATGAGCTGCCTGAAGAAGCACTTTCCTTCTCCTTTGTCCTTGTAGATCTCCAGCTAGAAACATGGGACCTGGAATGCGAGCGCAACAATCGGGAGCACCGGACCTCCGAGAACGGCAACGAGCGTCTGATCGTGCGCAGGGGGCAGCCGTTCACCATCACGCTGCACTTTTCCGGGAGGGAGTACCAGGAAGGCGTGGACCAGCTCACGTTCCACGTTGAGACAGGTGAGTCCTCCTTGATGCTCCTAACACATCGTCCTCCACCGTGCTGACTTCTGGACTTGGCTGGACCACAACTCCCAGGGAGGCTGGGCTGGTGCGAGTTGGAATCCTGCAGCGCCTGGAGTGTGCTGCTCAAAATCAGTGGCAAGCAAGTAGACAGGTAGTGTTGCGTAGTGGTTAGGGTGCTGGACTGGGACCTGGGAGAGGCTAGGGTTCAAATCTCTCCCCTGGGCCATGAAGCTCTTCCGGGGTGACCTGGGCCCAGTTGCTGCCTCTAAGCCTAGCCTACCTCCCAGGCAATAAATTAATAAAGCAAATAAATCTGGTTGGACTTTAGAGACCCAGTGGTGGTACTGTAGTTAAAGAGTTGGTCTGTGAGCTGGGGGACCAGGGTTCGAATCCCCTCTCTCTCAGCTTTACCTACCTCACAGGGTGGTTGTGGGGATTAAATGAGGGTGGGGAACCATGTTTTCCGCTTTGAGCTCCGTGGGGAAAATGATGGGGTATAAATGCAATAAGTAAATATGGATTAAGGCAGCGCTGCTCTTAAGGTTCAGCCCACTAAACTGAGCTGGACATTTTACAGGAATGTGAGAATCCGTTCTCGACATGCGGGCACCACAGGTCTGGATCTTGACCACACGCATCCTGGTCCTCAGCCCTCTCTGGTGCAAGGAAGCACTGCATTGCTGTCTCATGCCTGGGAACTGGGTCTGAATGTTTCCCCCAGTCTCAAGGCTGCTTTTTAATGTGACTCTGGCGAAATGTCACTGGGGTGAAGTAGCTTTGAATGCTGCGGCCAAATGGGTGGAAGGGCTTGATGTAAACTGAAATAACAGCCTCAGACTCATAATAATACAGCTTGCAGTGGGGTCCAAACTTTTTTCAAAGAGGGCCAGATTTGATGAAGTGAAGGGCCGTGAGTGCTGGCCAGAGGGCCAACCAAAGTTGTTCAGCTTTTTTTAGGATTGAGATTGTTGAGTTGTTGTTTTTTAGGATTGAACCTACCAGGTTAAACCTACCAGTAGGCCGGATTAGGCCCCCAAAACAGATTATGGACATGCCTTAAGGCTTAAGGGTTTTTAGCCCTTTAAAAACCTCAGTTTAAAAACCTCCAGTGAAGGAGACTTCACTGCTTTCTGAGGCAGTTGAGTTAGCAGCGGCCTCTGCCCAGAGTGGCAACCCAGTTAGATGGGCGGGGTACAAATAATAAAATTACTATTATGATTATTACTAAGTAACTGTGCAAGGCCACTTTTGCTCCATTCCAATCCTGCCACCCTTCTTCTTACTTTAATCAAAAACCAGCCAACAACTTGGTTCCTCCTTTTTTCCTTTCTTCCTGATTATTTTTGCCAATTTTCCCTTATTGTTCTTCTGTGGACAATGCAGCCAGGAAAGGAAAACATGGCAGAGGACGGGTGACCTCAGGCTCCGTCCCTGGCCAGGGTCCTCTCTCTCGCTTTGTTGTTGGGCTCAGGAAACACTGGTGGAAAAAAGGGAGTCATCCTCCTGGAATTTTGCAGCAGCAGCAGCCAGGCCCTGGAAACCCATTTCGTTTTGGCTGGTGACCTCAGAGGTGTTGCAAAAGCAAACAAGGGGGGACTTTTGTGGAGGAAGCAGAAATGGAAAGAAATGATCCAGTTTGTGCAGCGAGAATGGGGGGAGCTGTGCGGGGAGCAGCTGGAGGAAGAGGCACATTTAAGATAATGGACTGGACTTGCACTGGTTGGGAAGCTGGGATTTGAAGGAGCTGAGTATGTTTAGCCTGGAAAAGAGGAGACTGAGAGGTGACACAAGCGCCATCTTCAGACCTTTGATGTGCTGCCGTTTTCTCCGGCTCTGGAGGGGAGGACCTGAATCAATTATCCAGGTTTGTTGTTGTTTAGTCGTTTAGTTGTTTAGTCGTGTCCGCCTCTTTGTGATCCGATGGACCAGAGCACGCCAGGCCCTCCTGTCTTCCACTGCCTCCTCCAGTTTGGTCAAACTCATGCTGGTCTCTTCGAGAACACTGTCCCACCATCTCGTCCTTTGTCGTCCCCTTCTCCTTGTGCCCTCCATCTTTCCCAACATCAGGGTCTTTTCCAGGGAGTCTTCTCTTCTCCTGAGGTGGCCAAAGTATTGGAGCCTCAGCTTCAGGATCTGTCCCTGCCAGTGAGCACTCAGGGCTGCTTTCCTTCAGAATGGATCGGTTTGATCTTCTTGCAGTCCATGGGACTCTCAAGAGTCTCCCTCCAGCACCAGAATTCAAAAGCATCAGTTCTTTGGCAATCGGCCTTCTTTATGGTCCAGCTCTCACTTCCATACATCACTACTGGGAAAACCATACCTGGAACCAATTATCTGACCAAATATTAGGAAGAACTTTCTAGTGGTATGAGCCATTGGACAGTGGAACGGACTCCCTTGGAGGTTTTTAAGCAGAGGTTGGGTGTCCATCCATCAGGGATTCATTGGCTGAGATTCCTGCATTACAGGTGGGTTGGGCTAGATGACCCTGAGGAACCCTTCCAGCTCCCCAGTTCTGTGATTCTAAGAGCCAGTATTTCTCTTTATTCATACCTTCCAGCTGTTCCTGTTCTTTTCCCGTGTGAGGGCTCTGTTACTGTTTCCTGGAGTTTGTCAAAGCAGAAGAGTCCTGCCAAATAATTAGCACGTGAAATCCAGCCCCAAGCATTCCTCTCTGAACATAATGCTTTCAGACGGGGAGATGGCGATTTGACAAAGATGTCTTGCCCTGGGAGTTAAGAACATAGAAAGATCCTGCTGGATCAGAGCAATAACACGTCTTGTCCAGCATCCTTTTTTCACAGTGGCTGACCAGATGGTTGGTGGGAAACTTGCAAGCAGGATTTGAGCACAAGAACAACACTCTCCCAGCCTGAGGCTTCCAGCATAGCCATCCCAGCTAGTAGCCATCAGTAGCCCTCTCCCTCAGGGATTTGGCCAATTCTCTTTTAAGGCCATCTAAACCTGCCTCCTGTGGCAGGGAGTTCCATAGTTTAACTATGAGCTGTGTGAATAATGACTTTCTTTAATCTGTCCTGAATCTTCCAGTGTTCAGCTTCATTGTATGTCCTTGAGTTTTATGCTTAGGAGAGAGGGGAGGGTCTCTCCTCCTCCTCTTCCTCCTCTTGCATCAAACCATACCAGATCCTGACAGAGCCGTGGGGTTCATGAAATAACCTGCAATAATGTCCAAGAACAAAACAAATAGAAAAGCTGGACGCATGTCGTCCTCACCCTTGCAGCAACTCTGCAGCAAAAGAGAATTTGCTTCGGGGATTAACAGTTTAGATGATTCCTTGCAGGGATTAATTGATACAGGAGTCCTTCCAGACAGATGTTGAATGCGCAACTGATGCTCCTCATAAACACAAGTTTATTTGCAGCATCCCCATGAAATCATGAGCATCAAATGGCAACCAGTATACTTACCACCCCCCAATGGATTAAGATAAAGGTAAAGGGACCCCTGACCATTAGGTCCAGTCATGGCCGACTCTGGGGTTGCAGCGCTCATTTCGCTTTACTAGCCAAGGGAGCCGGCGTACAGCTTCCGGGTCATGTGGCCAGCATGACTAAGCCGCTTCTGGCGAACCAGAGCAGCACACGGAAACGCCATTTACCTTCCCGCTGGAGTGGTACCTATTTATCTACTTGCACTTTGACGTGCTTTCGAACTGCTAGGTTGGCAGGAGCAGGGACCGAGCAACGGAGATCACCCCGTCGCAGGGATTCGAACCGCCGACCTTCTGATCGGCAAGTCCTAGGCTCTGTGGTTTAACCCACAGCGCAACATGCGTCCCTTCTCCCCCAATGGATTACCTGCTTGCAAATTAAGCTCCCACCTGTGATTCCTGCATTGCAGGGGTTGGTTTAGATGGCTCTTGGGTGTCCCTCCAAATGCTACAATGATTCTGTAAATGCTCCTAATAAATGCCTCTGGCTCCATTTGTTCTCCCAGGGCAAAGCCTCGACATGCCCTTTTGAGACTGGGATGGGAGAAGGAGGGGAGGGGATGGAGGCTCCCCGAGGTCTCCAACCCCATTTTATCTCGCAGCCTCAGGCAGCCGGTGGTGAGTTGAGGAGGACAAGGGCAGGAAACAAAAGGAGGAAGCTTTTCCCTGGCTTGGCCTTTCCCACAGTTCTCTGTGTGGCTTGCAAGGAAGGAGGACTCCCACTTCGTCCTTCCCTTTTCCAGATAAAACAAAGAAAGCAAAGCACCCAGAGCGGAGCTCAAGTCTCAGCTTCTTCAGCCCCAGCTCCAGGGCTTAATTCGCACACAGCGCCAAGAGGTCACTGCCTGGTTTTGCTTAAGAGGTTAAGAACATCAGACGATCCCTGCAGGATCCGGTCAAAGGACCATAATAAATAAATAATAAATAAAAATTTATTTATATCCCGCCCTCCCCAGCTGAAGCTGGGCTCAGAGCGGCTAACAACAATAAAAGTAACACAGCATTCTAAAATCAATTCATTTTAGAATCAATTCAAAATCAAATTCATGGCAACCATTGGGCTAGAGGTCTGTGAGGATTGCCAAAGGAGGGAGTCAGGCTGTGCCCTGACCAAAGGCCTGGTGGAACAGCTCTGTCTTGCAGGCCCTGCGGAAAGATGTCAAGTCCCGCAGGGCCCTAGTCTCTTGGGACAGAGCGTTCCATCAGATCGGGGCCATGGTCCCAAAAGCCCTGGCTCTGGTTGCCTAACCTAACCTCCCTGTGGCCTGGGACCTCCAAGATGTATTTATCTGAAGACTGTAAGGTCCTCCGTGGGACATACCGGGAGAGGAGGTCCCGTAGGTATGAGGGTCCTAGGCCGCATAGGGCTTTAAAGGTTAAAACCAGCACCTTAAACCTGACCCTGTACTCCACCGGGAGCCAATGCAGCTGGTATAGCACTGGGTGAATGTGATCCCGTGGCAAGGACCCCATAAGGAGCCTCGCCGTGGCATTCTGCACCCGCTGGAGTTTCTGGGTCAGTCTCAAGGGTATCTTCCATAT